AATCAACAGAATCTAAATCAAAGAAGAAAAGTTATAAAATTCCTACTCTTAATAAAGTTAGTGGTGATGATTCTGGCTCATCTATGTCATCATCTTCATCTTCTGAACTTTCAAATTCAACAGGAAGTAGTCCAAGAAGGAGAATTTTCTCAGTTATTTCTCCTAGAAAAACAGAATCACCTCAAGAAAGTCCAAGAAGTTCAACTAAATTAAGTTTCCTTATACCTTCATTTATGAGAAAAAGAAGTAATTCATCAAGTGGAGGAAGTTCAGATAATGAAGGGTCAATAGTAGAAAGTTCAAAAAAATTTGAAAAGTAATATTTTGAGATACATTTCAATCATCATTTGATACATTGTAAATCAATAATTTAATAATCTTTCAATTTTATTTTTATTTTTTTTTTGAATGATTTTAAAATAAAAGAAGTTTTAGAAAAAAAAGTAGTAAAAAAAACAATAATTAGAACATTCAAGATTCAATGTATTAAAAAAATATAAAAACAAACATATTAAAAAAATACTCAAAAATACAAAAAATAATAAAATAAAGAATTTAAATAATAAAAATTAACACTAATGCTACAAAAAGGAAAGTACCAAATGATTGATTTCTTAAATTTAAAGAAATTGTCCTAACACATTTTGCAGCTTTGTTACAAGAAAAACCGAATTTACAAGTACCACAAAAAGGGACACAACCCTTAGAGTAATTTTTAATAAGTTCTCCATTAGTTGGTTCAATAGTTGAATTTGTTGGATTACATTCATCTTCCAAAGAGCATTGAAAAGTACCAAGTGGACATTGAGTGAAATTTAAATCATTAATTGGATAAAGAAACATATTATTAAAAGTGATAACAGAATTTTTTTTATTTGTTATGTAATGAACAACAATATTATTTATTTGAGCATAACAACGAGCTACTTTCATACTTAATTGACTTTTAATTCTATAATAATTATCTTCAGAAAATACTTGTTTATTTAAAGCAAATGAATTTAAACAATTTGTTTCAATTGAATTTTCAATTGAATCAATAAATGAAAAAGTTTTAAATTCTGGTTCTTTTACTAAAGGATTATTAATAAAATAATCAGAATATAAATAAGAATAATGTTTACTAACTTTTACTGGATAAGGATAGACTAAAGATATATATACTTCATTATCAAATTGAATTGTTGGGTTTTTTAAATCTATTTGACTTACTTCATTATAATTTGATTGACTATGAACATATAATTTCCATGAAAAATATGGATCTACTATTTCTGTGGTATTAAGAATTTGTGTTTCTAACCGAAGATAACATGAATTCTCTTTTAAACTTCCTGGTAATGAACTTGAAGCAGTTTGAATTGTTGATAATTCTAATTTAAATGGAAGTGCTAATGCATGACCAACAAAATCATATAATTTTAATGTCCCTGAAGTAAATGATTTTGGAATAATTAAATTAAAAAGACATGAAGTTGCATTTAAATAATAATAAGACCCACTAAGTTCTATTTTATCAATAATAACATTCGTATTAAATAAAATAACTTCTGTATTATAAGTATCTCCTTCTTCTTTTATTGATTTAACTACAGCTGAAGGAACTGTTTTATATGGACAATTAACTACCTGTGCAACAACTGGTAATGATGAACCTTCTCCATAATTATTATAAAATCCTGATAAATGTTGAAACATTTCTTCATCAACAAACACTGTCCTTAAATATGATAATCTTTCTTCTTCTGTTGTTACATCCATTACTGTTGCACCAACTATTGTACAAATTGATGGCTTTAAAGAAGGACCACTAAATTTAATACAAGTACCACACCGAGGAAATTCTCTTCGTTGAAAAAATTGATAAAATAAAGGAAGAGGAAAATAACAAGAAGTACGAGTTGAATAAGCTAAAACATTTCTATTTTTTTCTGGAACATCATCATAACATAATTTCGCTATTTGAGACTTTGAACCAACAACTCCTTTTTTCTCAATAAACTTAATATTTTCTACACGGATGTCCGTCTATTGGTTAGTTTTTAACAAATCTAATCTTTTCTTATCATTTTTAGACAAACTATACACGGACTATCTATCTGTAAACAATTACTTTCTGGTATTAATATCAATAATAAAAATATTGACACTACTTCCATTGACGACGTTCTTTTGTTTTCAGTGTTAATTAAATTATTATTATAATTTATTATAATATCTTATATTATATTTCCATAACTATTTCGATTTTTTTCTTGCGTTTTTTAAAATAACAACCCTTAAAACTATAATAATTAATAAATAAAACTATAAAAAATAACTATTTAAAAAGAAAAAAAAGAAATAAAATTTAATTGATGTTTGTTAAGAGAAAGATGTATATAAATCTTTTATAATCAAATGTCAAAGAGTAATGAAGTTATAACCTTTTTGTTATTTTCATAAAAATAGCAAGATTTAATATAACTTACAAGTTTCATTGAGTGTTTAAACAAAAAGAAAAAAGTATTTAAATATATTTATTAATTACTTTGTTCTCTTCGTTTTTTCATTATTTTTTGAAATTCTGTTTCTTCTTCTTGAATTGGTAATTCATGTTTTTTTATAGGAGAAGTTTTTTTAAGTTTAATTTGAAGTATTGGAAGAAAAGATTGGTTTGTAGTATTTTCATTTATACAATTTGTAGAATTAATAGAAGGTTTATTTTCTTTTTTTGTAGTATGTAATGTTTTTTGTAAATCTTCTAATAACATTTGATTAACATTTGAGTGTTTCTTATCAATTTGGTCTTTTGTTAATTGGTCATTAGATGTTTTTATAGTTTTTTCTTCAACTTGACATTCGTTTTGTTGATCAATAATATTTGGTTCTTTATTATTTTGGTTCTCTTCTTCTGTTAATTTAGTATCAATTTGATAAGACTCCTGTGAATTTATTTCTTTTTTATTAATTTCTTCTTGTGTTGTGTCTTTAATTTCATTCTCTTTTATTTCTTCTTTTAATTCTTCATTGCTTTTTATTTCTTCTTTTAATTCTTCTATTTTCATTTCTTTCAATTGTTCAAATAATTTTTTTGTTGCTGGTTTTCTGTTTTTAGATGATCTGGTTGGTCTTCTAGAAATTTGTCTAACTATTTGAATGTCATCTTCATTTTCTTGTCCAATAAAATGGTCATAACATTGTTGGTCATTAGGTATATTATTTGTATTATTTTCTATCTCTTGTAACTCTTCTCCTAAAACAGAAATAGTAACTTGTTCTTGGTTTATTTTATCAGTATTACTCTCAACTTGACTTTGATTGACGTGTTCACTAATTGGATCATTATATTGATTTCTTTCTATTACTTCTTCTTGATGTTTTTCTTCAGATATTTGTGAGACAGTATATTCATTATAAGGTTCAGAGTCTTCTTGTTGAGGTATTTGGTCACAAAGATTTTGTTGATTGATTTCATTTTGTTTTTCACATGAGTCTGACAGTACATTATAATAAGTTTGTTTATCCTCAACACAAGGACTAGGTAAAGTTATTGGTTGTAGTTCTTCTTGTGAAATAATTTGTGTTTGATCAGTTATTTTTTCATTTGTTTCTAAGGTGTAAAAAGACTCTTGACTTTCTTTTTCTTGAAGACTATTAATAACATTGGTACTTTCTTGAATGGGATGTTCTTCTTTTTGAAGTCTTTTTGGTTTTGGTGGAAGAGGAGGAGGTTCACATTGTTGGTCATCATGAGAAAAGTTTTCTTGATTGAGTTGTTCATTGTAACTTGTTTGATTGAAATAATTATCTTCATAATAATTTGACTCAGTATTTTCATCATAATATTCTTGATGGAATGAAAGTGAATGATTTTCATTTGGAATATTTATTATTTCATTTTGTGATTGAGATTCAAGATTATTATCAATTTCAAAAGTACAATCTCCAGATTGATTTGCAGAATCATTAGTTTTTTGGTTGAAATTTTCATCAATAAGATTTGGTATATTTTTTGATTGACTTATTATGTTAGTTGGAGACTTAACTAATTCTGGAATATCTAATTCCTCAAATTCCAAGTCTTCATTTTGAGGTAATGAAGTGATATATTTTTCGAAAATAAAATTAGTTAATTCCTCTTTATAAGTCATCATATTAACTGAATGAAAATCTTTACACAGATTAATAACAGCAATCATTTGATTCACTTTTCCATGACTGATGAAATAAAGTGCATTATAAGGAGTGTCATGAGTTCTTGAGAATAGAAGTAAATCTTTTTCATCAGACTTTTTAACGTTATTAATAACAGTAATTAAAACGATATTATTAAAAAATTCAGTAATTTGAGAAATAACAATTTTAATAACATTATTAGGAGCTTTAACGAAACAGTCAAATAAACCTGGTTTAACTTCTTTAAAGAAAATTTTATATTGAAGCTTAATAATATCCCAGTTTGCTTGAGTGGTTAAAGTTGCAAATTTTTCTTCATAAAATGCTTTATGAAAGAAAGTCAAATGATTTTTAAATTTAATTTTTAAAGTAGTAAATTGACTTTTTTGAACACTCTCAATAAAATGAATTAATTGTTTAAAACAATGTTCAAATCCAAAAATTTGAGGAGATGAATTAATATCAAGTTTAAAAGGAATTGAAGTTAAAGAGTTTGTTTTAAGGATATTACAAATTTCAATAAAATTAGATTTGAATAATTCAGGTAATTCAACTAAATCATAATAAGCATTAAATACATTAATTTTAATTAATGTCTTTATGAATAATTCAATTCCATTTTTATTAGTTTGAGGATTTGCTAATAACAATTAATAAATTAAAGAAAAAAAAAACTATTTGATACAAACTATATACAACATAATCATATATCTCATTTTCTACTGGTAAATCTAATTTGTTAAATTTTAATTCTTTGTATATCCCTATAATTCTAGTTAATGAATTTAAATGAATATTTACTAATTCTTCATTAAATTGTGGTTTTATTTTTACTTTAAATATATAATAATTATATTTTTGTGTTATTTGATTTAATACATTTTGACAATGTTTTAATATTCTCCCGTCTTTACTTGTTATTATTCTTTCTTTTTCTTCATATTTGATTATCCCTTTTTCTATTGTTAATTCTTCCTCTATTTCATCTAAAATTGGTTCATTCTCTAATAAAACTATTTGAAATGGATCAGTCACTTTAAATGAAGCTTGTTCATTCATATTCTTCACCTTTACTTTTATAGTTCTCTTTTCTTGCTTTTCAGTTCATTTGTTCTTCCCCGAAATTCTTTATCGCTTTTTTCTAACCCTTACTAATTATGTTAAGTATTTAAAACTAAAATCATGTCTCACATTAAACTTTTTCTTTGAGCTAACACTATATAACTAGAATTAATAATAAAGTCAATTTACTCTCTCTTTTCATTTTTTAAATCTTATCTGGAGAAATAAAAAGGGATAAAAAATAAAAATAAAA